TGTAAAAGGCTACACAGCCAAATATTTTCAGATTACTCAAATTTACAGGTTTTCCTCTCCAAACTTCTTCAAAGGATTTAAATTGTATAGTACTAGTGGGGCTTCTATTGATGAGATAACTAGCAGTTTTCGCAACTTCTCCCCAAAATAACTTGGGAAGACCAAAACCTAATAGCGTGCATCTAACTCTCTCAAGAATAGTTCGGTTCATTCTTTTCACCAAACCATTTTGTTGTGGAGGTATGTGTCACTCTTGTGTCTTAGAATACCGTGCACTTTGCACAATTCATCAAATTCATAATTACATAACTCAAGCACATGTCAATCCTCAATACTTTAATCTTTTTATTTGTCTGATTCTCAATCAAGATTTTCTAATCTTTAAAAGCAGTAAAAGTGTCAGACTTATATTTAAGCAGAAAGAGCCAATTTTTCCTAAGAAAATCATGTATGATTAAAAGGAAAAATTTGAAACCAGTATGTGTGGGCACAGAAGCTAGTCCCCAAAGATCAACATGCAAATATTCAAGAATAGACATAGATTTATGCATCCAGGCAGAAATGGTAATCTATTTGGCTTTCTAGTATGCAATGATCACAAAAACCAAGTTTCTCAATTATGCCTTTACCAAAGGCACCTTTTTTTTCCAAAATCTGTAAGCCTTTGTCACTAATATGGCTCAATCTTTTATGTCATAATTGTGACTTATCACTGGGGGCAAAAATTGCTGCTAATGTGGAGTCAAAAAAGGTTTTGAGTGTGTAAAATGTAAAACCCATGTCTCTTGGGGGCTTCGGCAACAAGTCGAGAGCTCCTCAAGATTTTAATGTATCCTTTTTTAATCACAATATTGCAGTTTAGGTCATACAAGACACCTAAGGATATCAAAATTCTTTATAAGTGAGGAACATACCTAGTCTTTTGTAAGGTCAATTCATTATAGCCATCAAGCCTTAAGGTAATAGTTCCTATTCCTTTTACTTGACAAGACATGTGATTACCCATTAGAACTTGGCCTCCATTTACATTTTCAAACTCGGCAAACCACATTCTTTTAGGACACATGTGAAAGGTGCAACTAGAGTCAAAGATCCTCTCCTGATTAGGTGGACTGTGTACAGCAACATAAACCTCATCTATGTTGGACTCATTATTATAGGCCAAGGCAGCACCACCATCATTATTAGACTTATTCTTCAAATTATTAAGTCTCTTATGACAATTTTTGATAAAATGACCTTCACCTAAACAGTAAAAACATTTTTTACCCTTAGTCTTAGTTTTCATTTTATCTTTAAAGTTCATATTTTTCTTGTGTCCTGGATTTATTTCTCAATGCATTTATTATAACATCGGTAGTTAGATTCTCCCTTCCATATTCCATAGCATTTTTAACATCTCTATATCTATCACTTATTGAATTTAACAAAACCACAGCCAACTGATCTTTTGAAAGTTTCTCATCACAGTTGGCTAGGTCACAGGATAATCCATTAAATCTATTAATGTTTGCCTCAAGATCAAGAGATTGGTCCAATTTGAAACCAAAAAAATTGTTTTAGAAGATACAATTTATTAGACATGATTTTATTCAGATAAAGATAAATATCTTCTAATTTTTTCCACAACTCAGTGGCATTTTTTGTCTCACCAATCTCTCTTAACACATTGTTAGACAAATGCAAGAATATAGAAATCCATGCAGTTTCATCAAGTTAAATTTTCTTAGTTTCTTCCATATCATTAGGCCATGTTTTGTTGAAGAAAAAGGGCTCGCATTTTCTGGCGCCAAAGACTAAAGTCTCATTTACCATTAAAAATTTCTAGTTCAAACTTTAGTTGACATGATCAAAACACAATTTGATTTTTAACAGTGCAAGCAGATCACATAAATTTTGAACAGTATATACAACATGCGGGGATCTCAAATGTCATACACAGTAAACAATATAAAGTGTACAAACAACAAGTTGTATGTAATAGATTATTTAGTAGAAAACTAAGCAATTCATTCGTTACATGAATAAGCAGTTTACTCAAAAACGACAAATTATCAGGTCACAGTAACATAATCACAGCATGCTATATACACTATATACAGAATACTTGCAAATAATCATAAAATGGAGCTTAAACCCTCAACTTTTAATTCAAGATAGCCCTCAGATTCTAGACAACTCACGGTTTCTAGACAAAGGAACTACCGAAAAGTCTTCGATTTATAAATTTTGCCACAGTTGCAAGGGTCACAGAGTATAGGCAAATATTATATATTGTAACTCGAAATAACAGGAACGAACTGACCGGAATCCCTTATTAGGGTTTCAAATAAATGACAGAAATCTACTGAACGTATACAGAAACATTCAAATCCACCAGAATAGGAGTCGAGAACCACCGTCAACATGCTCTGATACCACTGATACGATTAGTTCACAAAAGTCAGCTAACTTTAATTGACAAAAATATGAAATAATAAAACATAAAGCTAAAAGAAACATAAGAACGCAAAGGAACACGATATTTTTCGCCCTAAGGCAAGAGGTTCAGAACCAGAGTTCCTAATCCCCTTTTGAGCTTCCACCACCAGAAGAAATCACTATATTAATGGAATCGATGAAACCATCCAGCAAATACAACTCATGGCACTCAGATAATCACTCAAGATTCTTTCAACACTAGCCCCTCTTTTGATACAATCATTCACTCAAGAATCACAACTTTACAATATACAAATCACTCAAGGTTTATTCAAACTGGAAGTTTCAGATCAAGGAGGCTTTCTGGACTGATTTTGGAGATGGAAGATGTATAGCTTCAGTGAGAGTTCGAGAGGCAGGGAATGAGAATCATATCAAAAGTCTCGCAGCCAGAAAACCCTAATGAGAGTCGTATGGAAGATCTTTCCATCCAACGGTGAATAAGGCGACAATTGGCTAAATCATAAGCATCCATTCAAATAAAGAGAAAATACATTTTAGCAACCACACATTTTTGCCAATGTTAACTAACACCATTTTATCACTTGGGCTAACCGGCCAAGCAGCCCAACAGATTATGAGGCCAGCCCAACATCATTGTGCACATTTTCTCCGCAATGAATAACCACATTACAACCCAAATTGCGAGAACGATTCAGAAAGAACATTTTTTTGAAACATAAGACACATTAAACACACGAACATACACCAAGAAACCACAGATAACAAACCAAGGAAGCATAAAAGTACACCAAGAACACATAGATGATGATCAAGTTAAGGGACGATCTTGTAAGCTTTCACCTTGTCAATCCATGACATGAACGAATTCTTCGAATTCCTGAATCCCAAAAACTAGTGCTCCTTGCTCTTGTTCATGGTACTCAAGTAACATTCTGGCCTTGCTCAAGCATCTTTTCCCCGCCTTGCTTGGTGCCCTAAGTTTCTATCATGTCAAACATTGACGCGACATATACTTGAGTTTTCGAAAACTAGAGATGAATAAACATAAAAAAAAAAAAAAATTACTCTGCAAATAAATTGGAACAAGAAATTTTCCAAAAAAAAAATGAAAAAGAAAAAAAAAATCACCCAATAGCTTCCAATTACACGAGTAACATGTTTGCCATTGCAACAAGCCAGTTAGATTTTTCACGTGAAAGAAGAATATTGTCATCTATAATATTCCCAAATGTATGAGATTCAATGAATGCAATAGGAAAATAACAAATGGCAACTTCAATTTATGAAAATATTTTTGAGTTTAAGACTCAAAGAAAATATTATTTTATTAACAAAATATACAAAATGGAATTACACACCCAATGTCTCTACACAACTTTTTCATACTGCCAATACATTCATACCACGTCCTCTTAACTTTTCCCTCAATTCTTTCTTCTCTCTCTATTAGCTGCTTTTGTCTTATCCCACCACCATTCACTCTATATATTATATAATGGCAAATTCTCTCCACTCACTGCCTCTCTCAATATCTCTCACGCAAAACAATATGTGCAAATGTTTTTGAGTTTGAAACTCAAAAGAAAATATTGTTTTATTAACAAATCTGTATCTTCAAATATTAGAATTTGATTCCAACAGTTCATACATATGAAATTGAAAGAAATAAGCTAAGATAAAATCATGAAGTCCTAATAACTCAATTTTACTGAATTTAACTAACCAATTGACTTTCTTTGCCTTCAGTTAGATTTTTAGTTTTAAAGTCTCCATTAACTGAATTGCTCGTTCAAATAAAGTTAAGATAAATCAATTTTACTAGTTAATAATGTAATCCTCATGGATCTGAACTCAAGTCAACTTTTATTACTTATAAGACCTGTTTGTTTCTGCTTCTTCAGTGGATTTTAAGCCAAAAAAGAGCCGTTGAAGTGGACTGTGGATCTCACCTATGAGAGGGCCAATAAAAAATGATGGCTGCTTTTGATTTCCATTTCCAACGTGCAAAAAAATCAATTTTTGGGCATCAAAAATCCGTCCCAAACAACCGCGTAATATTGTGCACTTGCAATTTAGCACAACGTCCAAGGGACTATGAGTAAATGTTTTAGATAGATGAAGCTTTATTTTGCTGTTACTTTGTGTCTACCTTTTCTATCGTCGTTTTTATGGCATTTGAGTTGTCCTTCGGCTCGGGACTAAAAGCCCAAGTAGCACCACACATGTTACTATTCTGGTGTTGGACTTGTGTAAACATAGGTAAGGTCAAAATGAAATGTCATTAATTACATGTTGCATCAGTTCAATCTTGAAACATCTAGTCCAGGATTTGCTATGACAAAATTCGAAAGCACATTGCATCTGTGAGGGGCAGGTAACACTCCGGATACAAATGATAAAATCCAATAAGAATCTGCCCTTGTACAACGTTAATTTTCATCATCCATCCCTTCGACATATTATAACAAGATTTCAAGATCAAGGCTATGGAAACGTGCTCGAAGCCATTCCAACTTTGATTATTATTCGAGCAAGATTCAATAAAATTGACAAGCTTAAATCAGAATCCATATTTTACATTTTCCATTATACAAAAGCTTCCATCCATCACAATTTCCCTTCTTATTATTACAAAATTCATAATGAATAACCACATTACAACCCAAATTGCGGGACTCATTCAGAAAGAACATTTTTTGAAAGAGAAGACACATTAAACACACGATCATACACCAAGAAACCACAGATAACAAACCAAGGAAGCATAAAAGTACACCAAGAACACATAGATGATGATTAAGTTAAGGGGCGATCTTGTAAGCTTTCACCTTGTCAATCCATGATATGAACGAATTCTTCGAATTCCTGAATCCCAGAAACCCGTGCTCCTTGCTCTTGTTCATGTTACTCAAGTAACATTCGGAGCCAAGAACAACATCAGCAAACCACCAAATCCCTATGTCCTCCAATTTAGTAGGCGTTAATCCATTCTCCTGTACAATTTCATCCCAAACTGTCCCTTTATCCTTCATCATCTCCTGCAAGTGCAGATTCTGCCCCTCTTCGAACTCTCTATATTCCACCTCGAACTGCTCAGCCAATACCTTCCAGAAATGTTTCCACTTGAATACGTCTCCATTGCTGATATTGAACGCCTCATTCTTAGCGTAGGGATCCACCGCAGACCATATCTGATGCTCGGCAATCAAATCTGCATCAGAACAATCAGAATATCCATCCCAGGCAATTTTACTCCCTGGAAACCTCAATGGCACGCCCTCATGCTTACAAATAGCCGCGTAAACACATAGGGTCCCAACTAAGTTCATCATACTATACGGAGAAAATCCGAATATAGTACCTGGCCTATGAACCGACCACGTCAAATTCTCCTTCTTTTCCACCTCCTCGAACAGGATATCCTCGAGAGTATAGTAAAAATTTGGGTAATCCAAACGGGGCAAGTCCTCGTGGAAAGGAGGGTCATGAGTTTTTATCTTTCCATAGGATTCAAATGGACCAATGTAATGCTTCGTTCCTGTTTGCAAACAAATGTGCTTCAAGTTAGGACAATTGGGGATAATTGCATCGAGCACATTCTTAAACATTTTGCCATTGGCTTCGCAATTTTCAGCCTCAGTGGATCTGCTGGTCCATGTGACATAGAAGATGTGTGTGACATCCGTTAGAGGTGAAAGCTTAGCTTGAGCATCCTCATGATCTGAGATATCACATCGGATGTATTGAATTGGGTTGTCATCATTCCACGATGGCTCGGGGCGGCGGGCGACGCCGTAGACCTTCCAGGGACCGCCAGGGGTGTCTGCGAGAGGGAGGATCTCGGCCAGACTGTTGCCCACGATTCCGGTGACACCGATTATCAGGGCCACGCTTTGGTGTTTGATAGGCCCCTCATCTTCTTCGAATTTTTTCTGTTTCAAGATCAAATCATACAAGGCTTTTAACCGCTAGAAACTAATATGTACAGAGTATCCACACACAATCCGTATACAGATGCTCTATGTGTCTGAAATGAGAACTTACCTTTGCAGCGCCAATAGCTCCGGCCCACCACCAACTCATTTTCAGCAAGAGGGGTTGCGAAATCTTGAGAGAGAGAGAGAGGGTTGCCGGGGGGCGGATGGGTTGGGGGGGGGGGAGCTGGGGGAACTTCAAGAAGTTTCACAGTCGAGTGATTGATAAAGGTCCTATTGATTGGAGATTTGGTCACGGAAGTAGGTGTAGATTTATTTTTTATTTTATTTTATTACTTTTTTTGTCTGGACTTGATAATTGTTACCAATTTATTTTCCCTCAAATTCATTTCATTTTCACGTTTTCATAATAAGATAATTTTGCATATAATTTCAGAATATTTTCTTACTATTTGGCTATTCGTTCTTCAAAAAAATACCATTAAAAAGGACTTAAACAGAGGCTTAAAATGTTTTCTTATTAGAATTTGTAGATTTTTCTACGGTCCACTATGAGTAATTTTAAGATAATTTTTTGTGGAAATTACATCTACTCTTGTTTTTTAACATTACAAGTCAAAAATCAGGTTTGCAAGTCTTTAATTCAAAATTCAGATGATAATTAGTATTTATTATGGGGCCGTTTGAGCCTCATTATTTGTATATTATAATGAGATGAATAGTATTTTTTTGAAAAATAAATGGTTAAAAAAATTTTTATTTACGTGTAATATTATTTTGTTAAAAATTGTGTGATTAGAAGTGAGGAAGAGAATTTTAATTTAATGTAATGAGAAATAATGGGGGCCAAATGGGGCTCTATTACTAATAATCCACTCCACCCACCTCACCTCCACACCACCCCAGCCCCCGCTCATCAAAGACGGGTTTATCAAACCCCAATGACCTGAAAAACAATGATCTTTCTCTTCTCTCGCGAATCCACCTGTCATTCTCTTCTTTCTCTTTGCCACCGAGCCTCAGCGACGATGATGCAAATACGAATTGGCGCTTCCTACTATGTACAAAGGGCACCGCCACATCGCCACTCATTGTTTCTGTGCAACGTGAAGTGGCGATGCGTTGTCAATGCATCGCGTGCAGCATCTTCATCTTGTGATTTAGGGTGTTTTCAGGTGGTTCATGGTTGATAGCAGTTTAGATCTGAGATGGGAGCTGTGTTTTGGTAATTTGAGTGTAGTCGTGATCTGGCTTTGGATATTTGGTGAATAGGTAATTTGACTGCAATTGAATCCAATATTTTTTGTCAGAGACTTCATTCAATGGGGGGTTTGAGGTTGGTTTGGTTCAGCTAGGTTTGGCATCACTACCCAAAAATTATAGCCTTGATGGGAACAGAGCTAACAACGAAGGTGGGAGATTTAGGCAAAGAGTCAGCAATAGAGATGGCAGTGTGAAATTATAATGTGGCTGCATATCGTGGGTTTCAATTCGGCGAGGGTGATTGTTGTTAATTTGAGGTAAAGGTGGGGGTAGTAATTGGGGATTTAGGTGATTGTTGTTGGTAGTGGTGATTGATGCTGTAAGATGAATAGACAGTGGTGGTGTGGTAATCTCGGTGTGGTATTTTGAGATAATGCCGATGGATGCATTGTTTTTTTTTTATTTTATTTATATCCAGATATCTACATTACAGTGACTAAATCTTGGAGTTTACACCTTGGCCCCTCAAGCTGCAGACAGGTTAAACCGCAGGTTGTGCCCTAAACTGACTAGTGCTCAAGAGCCCCCCAACTGATCTGCCAAAATGCCAAACAAGTCGTTTCCCATCTTTGCACATTGCCTTCCAGTAGAGCTCCCGCCTTCCAAGATAAATCCTGACTTTCAGGAGAATATCTGCCTTCCAAGAGCTTTTCAGGAATCGAACTCACGACCTCTGATCTGCCAGCCTTGAAGCGCCCTCATTTTTGCTAGTTGGGATGTGCCCTGGGGGGCATCGATGCATTGTTTGATGTGGGTGTTGGGCAATGCCATTCAGTTTGTTTAATAATGTCTCTATAGTTGTTTGGTGCTGGTGTTTCCTATTTTGTGTCGTTATTTGTTTATTTCGATGTCTTGTTTGTTGTAGGTGGTTTTTCGGTCGTGTTCCGATTCGATGCGCCCTGTGTGGTGGTACAAATGGTGGTTGTCATGCTGGATTTAGATAAGGTTAGGATTGCATAAACACGATTTGTGACCAATAAATAATTTGTGACTAATAAAATTAATAATTTATGATATCGATGAAATGACTTGTGACTTGTGCCCAATGACCTATGACATATGAACTGATAACATGTCACATGTCTTTGTGCATTCGTTACAGGTCATAGATCTATGTTCACACATCACAGATCAAATAAATTTGATCACATATCATTGATTTATGTTCATAGGTCAATATTAATTGCTCACATGTTATAATTCACAAATTATGATCATAGTTCACATATTACCATTTACAGATCACGGGTCATATTGTATAGGTCACAGATCTTCACATGTCACATGTTATAGTTGACAGGTCACATTTCATATTGTATAGATCACAAATGCTCATGTCACTGGTTATCGTTCACAAGTCACAGGTCACCATTCATAGGTAACATATCAATGTCTGTAAGTCACAGATCTAAGAGAATTAGCCACAGGCCATTGATTTATTCGAACTGGTCACAAGTTCTATCAACCAAATTTTGGCAACAAAAATTGAAATTATTTGATCTGGTGAGAACCTTGTAAATTACATCATTTTTTTTTTCCAATTTTCAAATTTAAAAAGTAGATTTAAATTACACCGGCTCTACTCAGTCGTCGACGATGTCCAATAGGTATTCTTCGATGGCCGCTATATTTCTCCCTCTCTTTATTACCTAAGCTAACGATGCTCAGCCACGACTGAGTGGTGATCAGTTCACTGTTGAAGAAATGTTTATTTTCTAGTGATTTCTGTAAGTTTTATATTTTCTCTGGTGAAATTATTGGATGCCGATGATCGTGAGAGTGGATGCCAGTAGGTGGATGTCGACGACCGTAAGAGGGGATTACAACGAGCGGATGCCGATGACTATGGACAGGACTGGAGAGAGATTGGTATTATTTTATAAATAATTTTTTTATTTAATTAATAGAATTTAATTACTACATGAGTTTTGAACATGTAAACTTATTATCTTAAAATTGAATTGATCTAAGCTTAAGGCTTGAGATATGATTTTTTCCCTTTTTTTTTATTAGAAGTGACTTTATATATATATATATATATTTTGTGTGTGTGTGTGTGTGTGTGTGTGTTTACTGTTTTTAAAAGAATAATTATAATTGTATTGACGAAAGAATTGGCTGAGAGAATAATTAGACAAGGATTTAGTGAATTTCTGTTTTAAAATTATTGTATAAATAATCATTTCAACTTTTATTTTTAATTTGTCATATGTTTCTAAATTAATATTTTATTGTTTGATAAATAATAGTGATTTATTGTCGTGCGTGTACACAATTATTAGTATTAGAAATTAATCGTGATTATGCTCTTTTATTATTACTAGTTGGTTGCCCGTGCAATGCACGGGCTTTGTTATTTCGAAAGTAATATTAGCGTACCTAAAAAATAGATTTATACGTCTTCTTTTGGTGACTTTTTCTTAAACCTTTGATGTATAACATAGAATTTTTTTCATGTACCAAAAGGGTGGGGTGTTGAGCAGGGCAGTTGACAAAGAAAGCAAAAATTCATTTCTCATAATTTCAGAAGAAAGATAATAGTAGCTGGCATCTTGGGTCTTAGCTGATAACATGCTGTAAATGGAATCTTTTGAAAGTTTTTCTCTCTTCTTGCCTATTATATAAACAAACTCTGCAAATAAAATGGCTTTACAAGAAAACTTCTATACCTCATTGGAGAAAAGTGTGCAGCTTAAAAATAAATGAAAAGGAACACTGGAATAAACAAGTGACGGGTGACTATACAAATGTATAGACTCACAAAAAAGCTCAGCCTGAAGTGTCAAAGTTTACACTTCCACTGCAATCTTTAGCCCACTACAATAACAAAAATATATCAAGAGAGATCATATCGAGAATTAAAAAAAATAGAGAAAACAAAGACAGATTCCAAGTAGAGATAGAACACGTGCAGAGAAAGAAATAGAGACCAGGTATACTGAGATGTGTTAGTTGCTGGAATTCTTTGCCCTAAGATTATTGATCTTTTATTTTCCGTTCATAAGCAGGCAAAGGAGATTCCCCAAGATGCTGCAAGTAACTTACAATAATGTAAAAATATTTTAAGTAGTATCACACGTGCAAATGCATGAAGTACGAAAAATATTGTTAAGTGAAGACCTTGGAAAGTTTTGCATTTAATGACTCGGAAAAGTTCTCTTCTATAAAGTAATGCCTAGATGTACTTGGCACCTCTTCATCAGTGGAATATTCTATTTTAGTTCTTCCAGCATTAGCAAAACTTGTTTCTGAAAGTAATTTAGAAAAACATAATTAGTTATCGCACATGTACCTAGTATTATAAATTGCAAATATTTTGTCCCCTAATATGTAAGGAAAAGATCATGGGTTTGCAGGATGATTTCTCATTCATTCACAAGGTTGCAACACACAATCATGCAATAGAATTAGATGGGGTATTGTAGAGGGTGTATTTGATTCAAAGCTATTTTGTGATAACAAAGTAAAAACCATTATTATACTTGCTAGGAGGAGAATGAATTCGTATAACATTAGAGCTTATAAACTGGAATGCAAGGGAATTCTGAAAATGAGATTTTACCTCTAGTACTTGGAACAAAGACTTCATGTCGACCAACCTTTATACCGTTTCCTGATAAACACTTCCAAGGAAGTTAAGTGGAAGAGATAGTTAGAAAAGTAGCCCATTTACCATGACTGACCGGAAAAAAGTTGAAGCATCAATATCATTAATCATCTGATGGTAAAAAGCGTTCCTTTTTTCTAGATTTGATAGTATTTAAACCAAAAGAGTAAGAAGATTGAAGTTTTATCAAGTCACTATCAATCATGTTGCCATTTATAATCCCCTGGGAACACAAGACCATAACTGCACATAGTGCTGTGCTAAATATTAAATTCTACCCAAAGTGTAAATAGGTAAGACTTCGTTGAGTTTGTAAGGTGGCATCTTCATAACCTGAAATATGTTATATCATTCCTAATTAATTGGA